TACTGCTACTGCTACTGCTACTGCTGCTGCTACTGCTACTGCTACAACCACTACCACCGCTGCTGCTGCTGCTGCTGCTGCTGCTGCTGCTGCTGCTGCCGCTGCTGCTGCTGCCGCTGCTGCTGCTGCCGCTGCCGCTGCTGCCGCTGCCGCTGCCGCTGCCGCTGCTGCTGCTGCTGCTGCTGCTGCTGCTGCTGCTTGTTCTTGTTGAACTTTTTTGTTGTTGTTGTTGGTGGTGGTGGTTAGCAGCAGCACTAGCAGCATAAACAGTTGTAGTTGGCTGCTTCACGGGCCTGCTCCAGCCGATTGCACTATCATTGCCTCCTTCCCAGCATGTTTGGCATCCTCTGTGGTTCGGCAGGTGCTACTCCGACCTCCTCTCCAGCAGCGAGCCCAAAACTGGAGGCTAGGGGCCTTCAGCTGCGATCTGTTGCCACTTCTCGTGTGGGTTAGACTGAGGCGATCTTTTGACCATCCGGACATGGGTCGGCTTCAGAATACACCGCTAGCACATTGTGTTATGTGTGTGTACATAATCCACGCAGGTAGGATCTTGTTTTGGGATATCGAAAACTCCGATGCACAGCACTCTGCTAAGAGAAGATACGACTTCTCAGAGTCATTGTGAAAATTCGAACAGGCGACACCAACCGAAAACCACATGGTAACAGTCACTGCCATCACGGGCAGAGACACATGGCGTGAGTGGTGGAATTCCAGCAGTGCCTTTCTGTCTTTGTGAGATGCCCAGCTTTGTGTGGCTGTCCACAACAATCAACTGTGCTGTGCAAGACAAGGGCGACGTCTGCCGGAATTGCTAAATTCTCACCTGGCAGGGTCCGATTTGAGTGAATGCCGAATCCTGAACGTGCTAACTTGATCCCAGAACTCAGCTTTGCCCTGTTGCGGGCAGGAATCGAAGTATGCAGGCAGAGCATCCAGGAACTTATCCAGCAATGCTGGAGGTAAAACAGGTTCCAGCTTGCACTGACTATCACTCTCAATGGCATCCCCAGGCCTACTGTAAGTGCTCATGGCGCATATCCTTCGTCCTGGATGAGACGGCTGTGAAACAGAGAAGCCGAAACATCAAACCATGTATTAGTCATCAGTAACAATCCTGGAGCCTGCGTGCGAGAGTGAGAGTCGAAATCCTGGAGCCTAACAGGGCCTAACAGATGAGCCCTCTCATGACGTGCAGCTCGCTGAGAACCGCTCCCATGGAATTGGGCGCCAAGAGAGACGGGGAAGCAAAGCCACCAAAGTCAAGATGTTGAATGTAGGGCAGTAGCTCGGGTTTATTTGCCGACTTTTGCGGCTCAGTTCCACCCCCCCGAATTGCAGGTGCCACCCGGGACACCGGCTGAGACTGAGATACTTTCTCTGCAAGCTGGTCGTTTTCATTTTGTTAGCTGTTGCATCATGTTCGGGCTGGTAATCTTGTTCAGCGGGTCTTTTGGAGCTTGGTAGGAGATGACAGGCGTTGCTTTCGACAGCCTTACAGTACAGTGCTACCCTGGTCGCGTCCTGCAACCATCAACTCTTGCACCAGTCGTTTCAAATCTGTTCGGTGTTTTGTTTGCAATACTTCAGCGGACCACGAAACCACTGTCTCCTAAGTTGATGTTTGTTGAAGCTTGGAGGAAAGTGTAATCCTGCACTCGCCTCGGCTTCGGGTGTTTCCTGGATTTTCTCAGACTGATAATTCTTCATCCTCAGGACCACGGTGACGGTGAAACTGGGTGGCTGGGTCGCAACCAGGAAGAGAAGGCAGAGCCTCGTGGCAGACGGGAAGCACTGCCGTAATTGGAGTTCTGTAACGACGGCTGCGGCGGTGGTGGTAGTGGCTGCGAGAACGATTGTGATGAAGAAGCTGGGGATGTCACGGGGTGCGCACGTGACGATGACGACAATGTTGTGATGCAGACAGTGGTACTTAGGCGGATGACTCTGTCATCACCATCGGCGCAGTTGGTTTCTAGCTGTCATAGTAGTAATTAGCGCTGCTATGTTACAGTTTCGTCATAGGCTATTGTAAGGACCAGGCTGCATACACTAAGCATCGCCGTCTCGTCGCGGCAGTAACCTCAGTCGTGGCAGCAGCACCAGCAGCATTTTCAGAGGCATGCTTCTGAGAGGCATAACACAGATACAGATGTGGCTGCGGGAGCTGCTGGTTCGGCTCAGACTGCTTGCATCGTCCTGCAGCGCCTGCTCTCGGCATCAGAAATGGGTGAACTCACGGTATCTCCTCAGGCGCGTTGATCAGGGTCCAGAGGCGAATCCTGAGTTTAGGTGCGTGGTCGCATCGACCAAAGGGTAAGAGAGCCTCACACGCAAGCTTCGAACAGCAGGAGAAACTGTTCGATGCCGTGTCGGCCATCAACGAGGTTGCAGAGGAGCTGACCCGTCGACTTCAAACCGAAGAGTGCTCCTTGTCATTGGAGAGAGAAATGCTGTCCAGTTGCAGGGATCTGGCAAGCATGAAGAATGAAGAATCTGGTTTCCGGGTTAAGACAGGCTGACTTGCCGATACAGGCTCACAGTTGGGTGCTGCCCGATGGGAGAGCTTTGAAGTTGCAGGGTGCTCTGCATCTAGTGTTCAGGGCATGCCCGACACTCAGAGCCCAGCTGCAAAACAGGGCATATCACCAAGAGACGTGTTGCACAATCTCTCGCTGAGCCATGCGTTGAGGCACTGAGGGAGTGGACCTGACTGATGGCCACAACGTTGTCTCTCGGATCGCGTTTATGTCTCGGACGCTTTCGAGTGTGCAGGGTTGAGAGTACTTCATCCTGCCGCCGTTGCAGACCCGCCAATCTGTGAGAGTCGAAAACCGGAAGCCTTGAACCGTCTTTTTTCCTAAAAAAAAGGCGAAGTCCTGAATCCGAAATCGCACATCGCACTAAGTCTTCAACCTCGAACTGCAAGGCACAGATTATTCAGGGAGTCGGCTTCATGTTCCTCGCCATGTGGTTGATCTTCGCAAACAACTCAAAGGTTGCCGTGGCTCAGAAGGCACAGAGAGGGCGAACGCTTGCAAGGCCTAGGCCAAAGGCCGCTGCGAACGCGAAGACTCGCCCTGCAGGCACCCCTGGAGCAGCGCCACAACATTTGTGCCACGATCAGCACAGCCGTGGCCCTCTTTTCTGGCTTCTTCAACATTCTGCAGCTGACGGCCATTGATGACTTCGACTTGCCAGGCCGCACGAACAACTTCACACTCAATTTGTCCAGGCCCGTCGAGTGGATCCTTACGTGCCCGATCATGCAGCTGAAGCTGGTGGTCCTTGCAGGCTCCCGTGTGCCGAGCTATCGCCGCTTCATGATGCCCCTGATCTCCGTGGCCGTCCTGCTTTGTGGCACGGCCTCAATGTTCACAGGTGATGCCTTGCGCTTTGCGTGGTACGGCTTCGGCCTGTGCCTTGCTAGCATCATGTTCTACCACAATGCCCTCCAGATCAAGGAGAACAGCGAGGGCGAGGAGTCCTTCCTTCATGGTGATTCCGACTTCCGCAAGCTGTCGCTGTGCTTGATCCTCACATGGTTCCCCTTCCCGATGTGGTTCAGCTTGAGCGTCGAGGGTTTCGGTGTCATCACAGACGGCTTCATCATCGAGATTGGTTGGGTCGTTCTGAACATCGTCTCGAAGTTCCTCTTCATCATCTGGCTGCAACGAATGAAGATGGTACACCAGCGCAAGGTGGAGTCTACACGCGAGCTTTATGGCTTGTCTGCTTCCGACGACATGACGCTCGGATGTTGCTAAGAAATGCTAACATGATCACATAATGTAGGGATACCAGCTCCAGTAGTGGCGGAATGCCTAGTAGATGGGGTTGGCCTAGAAGCTGAGGCTGCACCGTTTGAACAGCCTGACTACAATCCCAGTCCTTGAAGCCTTCACACTCAGGACTGAGGGTGACCTGAAGCAGAAAGCTGTTTCCTTGGGCACTCACGGCGGTGTGAAAGCCGAGAATTACGGCCTTGGCCAAGGGGAGGAGGCCGAGAGCGAGGTCAAGCAGCGCAGCTGAAGTGTACAAGTGATGTAGTAAGGGGTAGTGAACGGGTTGCTTCTAGCTTTCCTGGAAGGGGACGGATAGTTGGTGGAATTCGGCTTCTCGTGCGGATTATTGCTCCTGTTGCCAGCATGTTCAGTTTAATTCTGCGTCGCACCAGTGTTTGCGGCATGCTGGCCTAGACGTTCAGTCAATATCTTGTTGCTAATGACAATGATAGCACTGCAGTCGCATGGTTATTTTCGTTTGGAGCAGTGTTGCAAGTCTTTCTTGGGTTGTCGTCTTGGGGCGTGCTGGTGCCTGCTTGCTCTACTACTACTTCTACTACTACTACTACTACTACTACTACTCCTGCTACTACTACTACTACTACTACTACTACTACTGCGCTGCTGCTGCTGCTGCTGCTGCTGCTGCTGCTGCTGCTGCTGCTGCTGCTGCTGCTGCTGCTACTGCTACTGCATCTGCATCTGCATCTGCATCTGCATCTGCTGCTGCTGCTGCTGCTGCTGCTGCTGCTACTACTGCTACCACCAACACCACTGACACCACTACTACTCACAGTCACTACTCCTGTATACTCCTCATCCTTCCTACTTTTGCTACTACTGCTACTACTACTACTACTACTACTGCTGCTACTGCTACTACTGCTACCACCAACACCACCACTACTTAAACCCTAAAACCCTAAAACCCTAAACCCTAAACCCTAAACCCTAAACCCTTAACCCTTAACCCTAAACCCCTAAGCCCTAAACCCCAAACCCTAGTTCGCCTGCGTCGCTGCAGTGTGGAGCAGTTGGAGGCCCTCGCTGGGCCTCGGTGGCTCCCGAATGCTCATCTGGCGATTAGAGTTTAGGGCTTAGGGTTTAGGGTTTAGGACTTAGGCTTTAAGGTTTAGGGTTTTGTGTGTTTAGGGCTTAGGCTTTAGGGTTTAGGGTTTAGTGTTCAGGGTTTAGGGCTTAGGGTTTAGATGCAGGGATCAACCGCGGGGTTTAGAGTTCTAAGCTTCCTAGAAAGGTTCTTTAGGGATTCTACCGGGGTTTAGGGTTTAGGGCTTAAGATGGCTTAGGGGTTCTAAGAGGCTTCTCTAGGACAGAATTAGGGTTCCCGGAAAGGTTCCTGCTGGGGGCTGCAATGTAGAAGCCTTAATGATTCGAATAGGATTTGGGGGTTCCTTTAAAGGGTTCCGGAACGGGTTCTGTAAGGGCTACTATAAGGGTTTGTTTAAGGCTTAGGGGCCTTAATGATTAGAATAGGGCTTTGGGGTATATTATAAGCAACCACTACAATAGTATTCGTAATGTGTCGGCCCCCATATTGACTTACTTCCCCAATAAGCCAGGGGAATGAAAGGTTATACTTACAGATTACTACTACGAAAAAAACGAACCCAAAAAGCTTAAAGGTTGGGTATTGGAGAACTAAACGGGCTACAAGGCGGCTTGTAGTTTATCAAGGCTTTGTCACCGCAAAGCACATATCAAGACCAGGGTTTGGGGTTCCCAGAACCCTGCAAACGGTTTAGGGTTTAGGGTTTAGGGGTCTAAGGTTCAGGTGCCACATAAGGATGAATAGTCTAAGGGCCTGCACTTTTCAGACCTTCGGGAAAGGCTGCAATTCGGCTTCTAGATAAAGGGCTCCACAGTGGATGAGGGTGTTCTGCGGCTTGGTTGATTTAGGGCTTAGACTTTGATTCGGGTCGAGGATTTTGGCTACAAGCTGCTGGCGATACTACGAACCCTAAACCCTAAACCCTAAACCCTAAACCACAACACATGGGGTTGGAAAATAACACCGAAAAAAGATCCTTCTCCCTGAACGTCGTTATCGATAGTTGTTCTTCTTATCGTTTTTCCATCAAAATTACACGGTTTAGGGTTTAGGGTTTAGGGTCGTTTTATTTTATCGTTTCACCATAGAAAACCATCCAAAACCCAACAGGGACATGCCAAGACTAGACCTAAAGGCGCGGAGTTATTTGTGAATCCCAAATGACAAACCTGGACGGAAATGGCAACTTGACACGGACGCTTCTCTGCGGCCAAACAAGTACCTGTGCCTCCTTCGAAAGACATAGCCATACTGTTTACCTTAAGGACCCTGCAGTATGGAAATTATGGTATATTCCTTATTACGGGTCGTGCAGGATTTATATCCTAAACCCTAAACCCGAAGCCCTAAACCCTAAACCGTAGTAGTCCTACAGCCCTAAAGTTGAACGTAAGCCATATGGCAACTCCGAGTGGTCCAAATAGCCCTCTAAAGCCACCCTAAACCCAAAACCCTAAACTTAGAGTTTAGGGTTTAGGGTTTTGGTAGGCCCTAAACCGTAGACCCGAAATCCCAAACTCTAACACACCCAGCGTATTCTCAGTAAACCCTGAGGAAAAGACCTACTTATTCGTAGTTATTCATGCCCCTAAATTCAACACACCCAAACCGAAACAGAAGTTACTCCTTGCACCCGAAACCCCCAAACCCCTTGGCCCTATAACCCCTGACACCCGAACCTGAAAACACTCTGGACAATAGGTAGGAGGGACCCTGAAGGGTTCCCTAATCCAAATGCGCTATATACCCCTTATGCACCCCTTATATAGTCTCATAAAGCCCCTATATAACCCCAAGGGTCCCTTTAAGGGTCCCCGTCCTTTAGTCCCTTGAACAGAGGCCTAAACCCTAAACCCTAAAGCCTAATCCCTAAACCCTAAACCCCTAAACCCTACACCCTAAACCCTAAACTCGAAGCCCTAAACCCTAAACCCCAAGGGTCCCTCTAAGGGTCCCTCCATTAGTCCCTTCAAAACACGCAAGCCTAGCCATGGACCCCATACGACCCGAAGCCCCAAAGCCTGAACCAAAACAGCCTATACCCCTCAGCCCTTAGGGTTTAGGATTTAGGGTT